ATCTTTTGGGGAAAAGGAACAACAGTCAGCAAAAGCTGTCTTCCACGAAAATGAACTGTTACCAATATCAGTGTTTAGTGTGCAGCCTGCCCATGACAGGACAGATACCAGAAGCCTGCGTACCTATCAAGGACACGGACGTTCAGACTGACACGAGACCAGTCTGGCACTACTCCACCAGGGCTTTGTAAATCATTCTTCCAAGACGAAGCAGGGAAGAATTCAGAAAAAGTGTGATTTTGCAAAAAAATAGTCTACACCTTAGCTAGTCTCTATTGCAACATGTTCCCAACTCAACTCATGAGTTTCCATGCAGTTTTATTCACAGTACAAAAACCTGTGAAGCAAGTTTGCTGCACCCAGAAAAGCAGCATCAGCTGCATACTGGGTAATTACTATAATCTGCAACACTTCTGGTTTTGCATGATGGTGATGGCCTAAGAAATCAGAATTCAGTTGTCCCAAGTGTAACGTGAATACCGAAAGGACCAGATCATTCCTCATACCCAAGCCAAGATAAATAGTCTAAATTTTCTTACTACAGCTGATAAATTGGTATCCTAAATATCTGCCAAGTTTCAAAGACAGGCTGTCAAGACTTTTGAGAATTAGGGCATTCAAGACATCCCACAGCCAGCATTAAAAAAAAAAGCCACTTTCTGCAAGTTTCATAGCTTTGTAGACCTGAAAGCCTGCATGGATTGCTACTAACCCCAAGAAAACACCTGTAGAGTATAAACAATTGCAAAAACTACATTTAATGTTTTCGCATAATTTAGCACAGTTCTGCTAGTGTCTGGTAACGTGTTCATGAAGCACCTTGTCCTACAGGACGTATACATCCACTGCTATAATCCAGTGTACTTTGACATTAACCTGCAATTCCATTTTCATATACATGTCGTATAGCACTAAGAGAAACACTAAAGACTAGACATATGATACGTAAATAATACCTTCTTTACCAGCTAGCTGAAAAGACTGTGATCTGACCAGTGGAAGAGAAGTTCTTCTTTTCAAGTTCATATCATCGTAGGAGGAAAAACACCTAGGAAACAAAATTCACAAAGCTTTTTAAAACACGTTTTTTTCAGGGCTTTGTCACACACATTTTTCATTAAGAAGCAACTTTGGCAGAAGGACAGGATTATTCACCAAGGTGCCCAAGAAAGCCTGGCAAACCGACACGGCAACAAACTAACAAGGCATGTTAAAGTGTAGTAGCCCCAAACTGCTCCTGGGAGAGCATTACTGCAGAGCAGTAGTGTCTCTTTGCTATCAATTTTGAGCTTGCAGAAAGAAGACTCAGAATTAAAGCAGATGTGTCCCTCCCAGTGAATTTAGGAAATATCAGTAAAAGCTGCAACAACAATCAAGTTTCATATAAACACATTACCTTTTGGGGCTAGGGTAGTGATTACTTTTGGGGATTTTTGAAAGGTAATCTTCACAGAACTGGGAAGTGCTTCTGCACCGCTGCACACAAAGCGCCAAGCCCAGAATGACGCAGAGAACCAGAGAAATCACAAGGTAGGTCTGCCGATCAGAAACCTGAAAGAATTTGAAACTGTTGTTAAAGACAAAGAATAATTTAATGATACTATTACTCTCGTGTGTTAAGTGTTAAAATCTTTAAAAGAGCACAATTCACATGTTCTTAAGCCACTTTTCTTCAATTTCACTCAACGCTTGTTCAAATTTGAGTATTTTTTCAGAGGTTGGATGCAGTCCATTGGCTATGCAGCATTCAAGGAGTGAAGGCTGAAAAACTTTAGCTGGTAACACAGGACAAGATTTCACTGACTATAGGACTACCATAATATAAAGCAGCAGCTGCTCCTTGCAAAGAACATTCAAACCTATCCAAAAGTAATACACTTTCCACAGGGAAGTGTACTAAGAAAGTAACTTCTCTGTTTTACAGTTGACACAGATGTAATACTATCTCAGTTTTATGTGATGAATGTTTTTCATCAGCCGACACGGCAGTACTGCACAAAATAAACACCATCATATTCGCTTGATTCCATGGGTTTCATCTTCGACTACTCTTCTGCTTCACAACCTAGCAGAAGGATTTTTCAAGCATGTCCATTTCTAAAGACTCACAGACGAAGCTTACTAGAATTATATGGAAGTTGAAATCCAAAGGTATTTTGCAGGTAATATTTTAAAAATTGAATCACCCCTTTTTTTTTCCCCATAAAAATCTATTTTGAACATCCTAAGAGATCTTGGAAGTTATACAAAGACTTCAGAAAATACAAAGAACACGACCTCCCATTTTGCAATGAGCAAATGTCTCAGATTAACAGACTCGGGTGACTAGAGTTAAGCTCTGGGAAAGCCTTGTGTTCAGATTCCAGGATACTCATCTACCATACCCCGATCACCACCACGGTCAAATCCTGTTAAAAGCACAGCACTCACCAACAGGAGCTTAGCCAGCCAGGCATCAAAGAAACAGTCTCGCTAAGTGTCACAAACCAGCTCAAGAGATGGCTTTGGCAACAGGCACAAAAAGAGGTCATGTTTATGGTACTGCTGGAAATCCCAGGCTGGAGAACATAAACATCTGAGAGAACATGCCCCTAGTATTGTTGCCAAGACTCCCCTGATCTCAAAAGATGGCAACAGCCAGCGGAGGAAGGAGAAGGGGCCTTAGCCACGTGAGCCTACCATTCAGTAGGTAAGAGTGCAACCCTTCACGTGCTTGTCTGCCACCAGAGCCCAGTTCTAACAGTGGCCAGCACGCTCTTGCACACTAAGCCTCCTATGGCAGGAGCCTGTTAATATTTAAGTGGACAATGTAAGTGCTGGACACTGCAAAGTATCCCATTTTACTGAAGCTGTGTAACAAAGCCATGCAATACAACTGGTTATGTAATGGAGCAAGCGCCAGGAAAAGTTCTTGAAGCACAAACTTTACCATTCTCTCTGACACATCAAACATTCTGTAGGTACAACAAATCTCACTGCCATTTCCAAATCAGTCGTTAGTCTTCTAATTTCATTAAAAAATCATTTCATAGAACAATATCAATTCCAATACACTACAGGAGGGCTTGGATATTAAGTTATTCAGTTTTATCTTTACCATTAGTTCAGAGTACAATCACGGGGCTAGTAGGGCTGTAGTAGAAATTATTACCAATCTTGCTGTGCGCAAGACAACTCAAGCTACTCCAAAACTTTCCTCCCCTCCCTTGGCCAGCTGCTAAAGCAGACTGAAAGCAACACTACAGACTTCTCAAATGAAAAGCTTCATTTAAAGACTCCAGGCCTCTTCAAATTGAGATATGTTTATGCATCCGTTTCCTTTGAGTTCTCATGCCATACTGCTGAATTATAATTACCTCACGTTTTAATTCCGCCACAGTTGTTGACAGATTGGAAGCTAGCTGCGTCATGTTGGTGAGCTGTGCTTGTAACAGCTGGATTGCTTCTGTTTGCCGCTGATCCTGTATGAAAGAGTCAGGGCCATGTTACTGAGTGGTCACATTCCCACTGTCATACACTCTCACACGTACCGTTCTATCTGACACAGCCGGGCATTCTGTAGCCATGTGGTGACCTATTCAGCATTGTTTTCAACACAACTTCCACGTAACATCTGAAACTGCTTAAGCAGCATTAGTCATATACATACTTAAAAACATCATTGTTTTCACTTATCAAATAACATTTTGTAACATTATGCCAAGTGCATTTCATTTCAGTGACTTCTGCTACCTTCATTAAAGGCAGCTTAAGCTCCCTGCAACAACCACCAGGAGGTTGATTGCTGTTGTGTTACAAAACACACGTGCAGATGAGCGGGCAGAGCTAAAGCCTAAGGGCTGATGCGTAGCTTCTGTTCTGGTAGCCAGTCACTTAACGACAGGAGCCCAAGCCAGCCAGAAACAAGTCCTTTGCAGCTATCATCTGCTTCTCGGAAAGAGACCTAACAGGATTCTTAATCCTATGAGAAATTAAGACAGGTGAGCAGAAAGTGAGGGACGTTAACCAAGAGGAGCATCTCAGACTGAGCAGCGTTTGATACTATTCCAAAACGATGCAGAAAAGAGCATGTATAAGATCTCAGGGAAGTTGCGATTTTCTTCACTCTTGATGGATGAGCAGACTACAGGCCTGGGACCGCAATTCCGAAATTTTCAGACAGTTTAGGACTAAGTCTGGTATGCCACATGCACAGTTGCTTTAGTGACTATTCAGCACTGCTGTTAGCACTGTATTTCACAGCTGCTCAGGAAAGCTGGGATGGCAGAGCAGGGAAAACCTCCTTCGGCTCCCACTTTCTTAAATCACATTTTAAAGAAGGAACTACAGCTTTCGTTACATGCACTATACTTTAAAATGCAAATTTGGCATAAGCCATTACTGTACCCCTCTTCCTTTCTAAAGGCTAGGTCTCTTCAGCAGCATCAGGGCAATTGTCTATCTATACTTTAAATCAGAGATTAAAAAACAAATCAAGTTTAAAAAAATGGTTTTGAGCACAGCTACACCAAGAAACAAGGGTTGGAGGTGACCTGGATAACTTTTTCACTGACAAAGACATTTAAGAGTTTCAGCCATCACCAGCTGACAACTGAGTTTTTCTTCAAATACAAAAATCAGGAAACAGAGCTGGAAATGGTTTTGTTCTAAGACAACTGGGAACACATCTAAAATTTTTATTACAGAGAAAAAAATTAGAAAGCATGGAATGGATGCTTTTAAAAGGCAGATATGCAGCTATTAAAAATATTCCATTGAAAAAAAATTTCTGGACCTCCTTGCAACTCTTTCTTAAAAGCAAACTCTTCTAATTAGGAAAACACTCAAGTACTCCAACAAGTCCTACCTGCTCTTCTGCTATTCTTGAGGTGTTCTGAAGTTTTATTATTGTTTTATTGAAAGCCTTCTGCATTTCTTCCATTTGCTTTCGGTACCTAAAACAAAGAGCATAAAGTTCTGAAATGCTAATTCACAAAACTCCTTGGCACTAGTCTTGTCTTCAGAAAACACGACTGTGCCAGCAGAAAACTTCTCTTTGCTCAAAGAAGTTTTGTTTAAACATCAAGCAGTATTTCCTTTTAAATTTCACACATAAACTAGAGATATGTCTGTTTCTATTTTTTTGGTGGGTTTTTTTCCAAGGTTAAAGTCAAATCTATTTCAACACCTTAGAGCTTTGTGCCAAATTACTGGAATTCTCTAAGGGGAATTCTCTGCAAACACTGACTGCCAAGACAGACAACACAACAGTAAATATAACAAAGAGCCCCTTCCTTGGAACCAATTCTGAAATGAGTACATTTCCTGATTTTCCTACGCACAAAGAGCACCGCACATAAACACTATCATACATGCATCCCTCACAGAAAGTTCTTGATTCCCTTTCCACATGCCCTTCTTCAACAGGCATTATTACAGATAACACCATAGTTAAAGTGGAAACAATAATTCGGTAAAGAAGGGATTTTAGATCTGTGCAATTGAGTTTAACAGCAACAGAAGGATGTGCCCTTTTGTTGAACGGATTATGGACAGCATTACTGGTTAAATCCTGGCAACACTTTATCTTTCTAAAAAGCTCACTGCAATATTCCTCAAAACAAAAGAAATGTGATTGTATCTGAAATACAGATAAAGGGAACACCTGCCACCTGCAGATATCTGTCTCCAGTAACTACCCAGGATTGGGTACTTTTCTCAGTTTTCCTAAAGCTTTATGCTGTGATTTATGTTATACGCTGCTTCCACTGTACTACTTTCCATATGTGTATGCTCCTTCATATAGCTGGCTAAAATCATGTCTACACACAGTAGAGTCTTACCAGTCTTCCTCAGACTTACCTCTGACTAAGTTCTTCTAAGTAACGGCTGCTGAGAGACATGTTTACTTCTAGGGCTTTTATGCGGTTATTAAGGCGCATGAAGACGGACTCCTTTTGATTAGATCCATGGACAAGATTCCCGTTAGCATAGCCCAGATCTGTTGAATTCTGCAATTCAGCATAGAAGTCTGTAGCTGTTCTCTGTGGTCCCCCAGAGACTGGAATTGCCATTAAAGCTTCTTCAGTTGCCTGATCATCCTCCTTTGTTTCAGCAGGTACAGAAGACTCAACAGGAGGCAAAACAGGTTTGTGCACTTCTGGAGTGCTTTCCTTTCCTTCCCCAGCATCACTGGCTAACATGCCCACTGTATATTCAGGCTGCAGAACAGTCTCTATAGGCTTTGAAATCACTGGAGTAGCAATAATCTCTCTCGTGCTCACCTCCTTTACCTCAGCAGCCACACTGGTCTCAGAAGCTACAGGGTTTTCTTCGGCAACAGAGCTCTCAGCCTTTTCTGTTTCTGCACTGCTGTCAGCTATATCCACCTGGGGAGTCACCCTTGGTGCTACCTGGCCTGCATCTTCTTTGGCAGGCTCCAACGCCACATCTATTGTTGGCAATGGCTTAACTTCAGAAGTAACTTCTAAGAGGAGGGACTGAGAGACAGTTTGAGGATGGCTTGGCTCCAGTTCAATTGAACCTGTGGTCTCATTACTGGTCTCCTCATGGACAACACTGCTGAAGTCAACTGCAACAACAGATCCAAGTGGTGCCTCAACTTTGCTGTCTACCTGCTCAGGCAGAGGCTCATCTATTGATGTATGTATAGATGCGGTCAGAACCGCCTGTGGCTGCTGAAGGTCAGCAGAGTCACCTTGTCCTTGTTTACCTCCAGTTTTACTATGCTGCCGATGCATGGCTACTGCAACTGAACACCATTTAAACAGGTATTCTGAGAAGGTGGAAATACAACATACTGTTGCCATGTCATAGCAGTACTTTTCTGTCTCAAGTTCAAACCATGCCGATGCTTCTTCTTCCTGATCATCGCTGGGCAGCAAGGTTACTGTCGACCGGCTTGTATCTTCCTCATACTCTTGTACTAGCTGAACAATAGGACTTTCTTTTGTCAAATCCACCATTAATTGCTCTTTATCGATCTGAGGAATATCTGTAGTAACAAGTCTACAATGAAAGAGTTAAAGATGGGATATCAATTCAACAGTTTTACATGCCTGCTCCGGAAGACTACAAAAACAGCATCTTTAAAAAAATTAGCAAAGCTTATTCTGGTGACCAAAGGCCAGTTTGGATACCGTCAGAAAATCTGTAGATTAGTATTTTCTCTGGTGTTTTTCAATCGATTTTCAAATAAATTATTTCAACCCTTGCTTCTGAAACAGCAAGCCTTCTCAATCAGATATTGCCACTTCCCTCACCCCTGAAAAGTCACCAGTTCAAACACCATCAGGTTCTTACACAGTACGCATCTTACTCTTCTGCTGCAATCTGCAAATGCAAGAATCAAAACCTTCCCACTGATCTTCCTCAGTCTCTCAACAATCAGAGAGCTAGCAAACCATAAAACCACTAAACACAGCACAAGTCATCTCTTAATATTTAAGAGCTAGACTCTCAGCTCTAAGTAGCCAAATCAATTCTTAACAGTTGTAATCAACTGTTAATCTATATACAACTCCTCCCAACCTAACTCCATACCTTTGCATATATATTTTCATCAAAAAAAGTCTAGCAAAGATATAAGCTTTTAAAACAGAATTTTTGTCTGTAGTAACAGAAGTTTCAGCAATACAACTTATGTTCCTAATTAGTTTCCCTTGCAGGAGACAACTTGTAAAACCTGCAAGAATATTAAATCAGTTTCCACCCAAGAAACCTGCAATAGCCAAGAGCAATACACTCCTCCTACTTCTTCTAAACAAAGTAATACAAACCATTGAGAAAGTTAGTGATGCATTTTGACATTTAGTCAAGTGTAAAACCAAACATATAACGGAAATAGCTCTAAACAGTAACCAAAGCAGTAAGCTTCCCTGGTGAGTATATTATCATATTACAGATTTCACCAAATACTTGCCCTTTTACTTGTTTAAGGCAGTGTGCCGTATCTGAGTATTCTACTACCAAAGATTCCAAACTGGTGTATGTTAGTTTCTGCTAGGAATGCACTGAAAAAAAAAAACCCCACACCACCAATCACTTACTCTGGTGAAGGAACAGGTGTTGGTTCAGGCAGTCTTGGTGCAGCTGTTGAAGTTGCAGGGGTGGCAGTGACATTTTCAGACACACTTTTGTTCCCTGCTGCAAGAAGAAGGAAAATGTGAACATAAAAATTCAAGAATCACGTTTGTTTTCCATGAATTTTGCTGGTTTGGGTTCTCTTTGTTTACTAACTGCACTACCAAATTCACTGCACATGTCATTCAAAGTTACTTGAATGAAAGTGCTACTGCCAGTTTACATAGATGATGTTGTGAACAGTTTCAAAACATTTCCAGGAAGAAGCAGCAAGTCAGGTTTTACAACTGAAGCTGGGTAATACAGAGAGTAAGCATCTCTGAATGCAGCTGAACTAAGATAAACGTTATCTTTGTACCAGCTCCCTTCTCAGTAAATTCAGCATCTTTGTTCCCCATTTCACTGTCAGTAGGCTAAGAATGTACGATGTAAAAGGTGAAAAAAAGCCATAGATAAACATAGATAATCCAACTCTTCACAAAAAAAAAATTTAACAAAACAACAAAAAGAAACTAAAGCTTTCCATAACGCTTTTCCTCTAAATAAATACCTTCGGCTTCAGATAACTCCTCGGTTTTTGCTCCGAGCATGTTAGCAGCAATGTTCACCATACTTAGGATAGCATCTGGAAGAGAAAGCAACTAATGAAAGAGGAGGTATCCAGAGGGCCCAGAGATTAGCACCACTGAGCAAACTGCTATTTTGTAACACTTATTTGAAATGAATCTCAGCATAAGGACATAAAGAAAATCCAGTCATTCTATTACACTGCACACATCTGTTGCTTTTAAAGGATCAGTTTACAAGCTAGGAACCTATATTTGAAAACCAATACCTAAGCATTACCAGCTAGATCTTCTAACACCAGTGAAAAGTTCTCACTAGTCATTAGTCCACTGAAGCCAAGGAACAGTAAGACAAATAGAAGAATATTTAATCGTGGAATTTTCTGGCAATCTGAGTGAGGTCCCAAGTCAGAAATTTAGAGCTTGAACACTCAAATGGAGGAGCTCTAATAAAGACAGGCTAGATCGTCTGTCATAACAACACTAAAGTAGTGAGTCAAGAACTGTCGCTTGCTAAACAAGCAAGAGTTCTGCCTCTGAACACAGGATTTCCACAGCAGGACACACACAGAAAACTCCAGATTCATTCATATTAAGTTGGACTCTGTCATTTTGCATCATGCCTCCCTCCTTAATCCCGAACCTTACTTTCAGCTCTGATACTGCTGCAACATAACAATTCTAAATACATTGAGATTTTAAGAAGAAAATGTACACTTTACAATCTGTTACTTAAATACAATCTAGATCAGTCAAGGCAACTGGAAGAAAATCGTAACAAATATCCACAGATCTGTCTCATTTTTTTTAAGGATCTGTTAAGTAGAACAGTTCCCCCCCCCCTCCACAGAGTTCACTAAAGTAAATGAAGAGAAGGTCTGTTGTGTATCAGCACATACATTAGATACAGCAAACTCTTTGGTCTTGATATTGAAAACAAACATCATTGCCAGGCCTATTTAGAAGATGAGGAACAAGGAAAGAGCACCTGATCGTAAACACGCAAAAGTTGGCCCAATTTTCCCCATTTCTCCCCCACCAACCAACATACATCTGTACTGTATGTCACATGGATAAGTTCACAAAGTTAGAATGGCATTTTAGTAGTAGTGACAAATCTTAAGACTCCAGGAAGCTTTGTTCAGAACCTTTCCTCCAAAACACATCAGAAACTACATTCCTGAATTGCATCATTTATCTGGGGCTGGATTATATGAAAAGTCACGATAAGCAAAAGATGTTAAACTTGAAATATGAACGGTTTCTTATTATTTATGGAAAAGCACAAAACCAGGAAGAATTAAGAGTTGGTATAAAAGCCTGCCAGTCCAGGAGGAGGGAGAACAGTGAACTACCCTCACAGGTTACGTGAGGAAGACTGCAAAATACTTCTTAAGAGATCAAATGTCTGAGAATCCCACTATCTCCTCCTTAGAGGTCTCTCTTCCTCCCTGTGTAGCAGTCTAAGACAGACAATGCAAAATGGAAGTCCATCACTTTGTCCAAGCATGCACATGCAAAAAACCACCACAAAAAACCACCCCCCACACATTCAGTATTCCGTTCAAAAAAAGAACCCTGACTACCCTGCCAGAGATGAAAGGTCTCAGTAACGACATCCATCAGCCTGAACTAAATAATGATCACTGTGATGTTGCAGTGCTCAGCTGTCTTTCTAAAGCACTATCAATAATAGGAGTTTCAAATCTTTTCATCATAGCTTTAGTATGTTAAAAAAACAATAGAAAAGTCACTGCATTTTTCAGACAGTGAACAGAAACACTTTGCAATACTGCACTTGCAGTGAATACACCTCATCAAGACAGCTTGAAGACAGAAACTTTGAAAGTCACAGATAAGAGATAAGCAGTATAAGGGAAGAACATACTGCTTTCTCTCACCGGTGAGAGGTTAATATTTAGAAATAAACTGCATTTTTCACTATCTATTTCCCCTCTGAAAACTGCACTATGCTGTGCAATATTCCTAGTCATGACCTTTTTGTTCTTAAGTAACAACTATGTTCTAGGAAATAGTAGCAAAGAACACTGCAGCTATGATCCACTACTGGATGAAAGGAAAACCTGAGCCCAAACAGTAGACATATTGAATGAAAATTTTCACTACAGTAACAAATCTTCACTAACTGGGACAGAAGGATGAATGGTATAGTGTAAGAGCTCTTCAGAAGAAGTTGTGTGGCAGCTGATGCTATCCTAAATAATCCAGCACTTAAGAATACCATTAAAACTGAATATTCAAGTATTTTTAGCTAAACTCACTCCACACCTGGAGGTTTTTCAATGGAAAAGTGACAAGAGACAGTCAAGAACTGTTAGTTCTCTCAAAAAAACATACAGCTCTTAAGAACATAGAAGCTACAATATTTACATAAAGCCTTCTCGGAAAGCGTTCTCCATCCTTTCAAGCTGTACAAAGTAAATCTTTCTATTACCTCCTAGAAATAACGCACCTTAATTAAGCACAGATTTTAAAGTTCTGAATAATTAAGATTCTATAGCACTTTAGTACTGGTTACTTACAGCCCTACATAACATTCATATTATTTTAAGTGCTCAGGATCCTTAAGTACAGAAAGTGAAGTTTCCAAAAAACGGAAATCTGGACTCCAATGGTACTCCAACTTCGAATTGTTACTATTTATTCCTATGCAATAAAACAGGAATCACAATAAATTGTTTCAGCAGAAAAATATGAGTGTCGTAGCTGTTGCATGATAAACTGTCATTCCACTTTCAATTAGCTCCTTTTGTTTCAGCACAGCCATAATTTTTCTAATAAATCATACTCACTTGTAGCAGAACCAAGGAGATTTTTTTGAGATTTTTCTTCCCCTGTATTGTAATCCAACAGATAATCTATGTGTAAAGAAGAACACTTATGACTATCACAATTAAATGTGTCAGGGGCAAAGAAAATAAACCTCAAGATTTAACACGTCATTCAACTATGTCAGTTTGACAGTGTGAAAAGAAAACTACAGAAATTAAGTTAAAGGTCAGAGATTACGTACTAAAACATTAAGCTCCAAGCAATGAGAAACCCAAAAAGCTTCAGGGTTCAAGCTTCAGTTTCCCCAGGATTCATGACACAGATGCAGCAAACAGCTCACTGAGCTTCGTATAGGGTTTTTTCACCCTCCTCCTCGTGAGGGCTGGAGGTAGGCATTTTCATATTTTTTATTTAAACACAAAGTCTGCAAGCCAAAATAAGCACCTTCCCAGTTGCCTGCTGCACTGATCATACAAACAATCTCAGGAAATGGACTACAGACACTAAGAATAAAGCTGTTTTGCACGAGCGGCTTTGATTATTGTAGTCATCCTTTACTACTGTCAGCACAGGAAGATACTATTGCCTAGTCTGCCAAGTGAAATAGAGACTTATTACTAGCATTGGAAAGCAACCCTTCAAATAGTTACAACACATTGTTTAAAACTTAAAAGGAATGTTGGATAAACCCAGAAATGCTGAAATACCGTCAATAAGACTACGAGTAAATTGAGCAGTCAAATCATTTATCATATGCAGGAAACGATGAGCCACCAGACTAGCATAAGACACATCTGAATCGCTAAAAAGGCAGAAATTATTTGCTTACCATAATCTTCATCAAAGAGCTCTTGTCGTTCAGAATGATACTGAGAATCAGCTATTTCTTCATACTCTTCAACCATGCTAGTACCAAATACCCTATGAACGAAGTTTTAAAATAAAAACCTAATATTAGTCTATTAGTCATGCAATTACTTTACATAATTGATAATTAGGTAAGCAACATCAAAATTACATATGTTGCAAATAAATTAGACAAGCAACAGTTGCTTCAGTTAACCAAGATCAAGCTGCAGACATGCTTACTTTCTCAAACTCGTATCCACAAAGTCTGCATGCTTTCAAGTGCTGCACCAAAACAAGATCCTGTTTTTAATTTTAGTCATTTCAAAGAGACTTCCCCTTTTTAACTCGAACTCATACCTAGGCTTCTTTACCTTAAGCTCTCCATGAGCTTTTACGCCTCCTCTTCAGCTTCACCTTTGACTAACTTAAGGAGTATTGATTCATGACTACCTCATTTTGCATACTATATTCTCTTTGACCTGCTCTGCCAAAATAAAATCAGACCAATCCAATTTAAAGCAGTCTTGTCAACTGAAAATATGGTTTGGCTTATAACACTAGAGTTCCCAGGTTCAAATCCTGATGTAGCTTTGACAGGAGAATCGAACTTGGTTTTTTACAAGCAGTACAGAGGCTGATTACTCTCTAAGCTACACACACAGTTACTCTGATTTAGATATTCCAAGCGTTGCTAACTGTATGTACCTGGAGTGTCATGCAATACAGCAGCTTCCCAAAAGTACTCACCACACCCGCTCTTTTTAATTCACCACTTGTTCCTTGGTTTGCTTGGTCAGCCCTGAAACACTCATGTCCTCCCGTAAGGCTACTCATGCTCCTGTTTCCTAACACACATCTCCGCAAATATAAACTATTCCTTACACACTGGAGAATCGAATTAAAAGATTCAAAGCTTCTCTAAACAGATGTGAAGGACACTATGCAGCAGGTAAATTAGGCAACTACTCCAAATCACAGTATTTCCAAATAACTTCAACTGAAAACTAGAGTTTGTTGCCCAACTAATATTAAAACACACTAATCCTTACTGCAAGGAGGCAGAAAGACAAGGCAAAACACTTCAGGTATTACCTTATGAGACTTAAAGGACAAAAATGTTCTGATCCGAAGTGTGATATCAACTCCACCTAAAGAATAAAAAGTACTTAAAATAAAACTCTAAAGACCCACAGAGTCAAGAGTGCATTTAACATATACATCCAATCTTGAAATTGCAAGTTTTGTTTACTCAAGGGATTTGCAGATTGCCCATTACAGAAAAGACTCTGGTTCTTGCCATGCATAAAGTGCTGAGTCGCAGCAGAGAACACCCCAAGCCCCATGCACTCATCATTCCAAAAGAAGAGGTTGCTAACCTTTATGTACTTGATGAACATCTGAAGCGAGAGAAAGGAAAACGGGAGAAAAAAAAAAAAGATTAAAAAAAGATGTCAGTACAAAGGCTGAATACATGCCACAGGCAACTACAGAGTTTTATTGTTTTTAATTCAGTACTATAAACATCTAAGACAAGTTATGAAGGATGAAGTTGCAATACTACTTCATCTGCCTTAGGTAGCAAGATTCCATTTAGCCCTTGTACCTTGCAGATAGAAGGTAACATGCAACAAATGTTTTATTAATGAACTTAAATTACTCACTTTTTCTAGGCAGCATGATTGCAGACAGAATACTGAAGTGTGTTAAATTTACTAAGTGTATTTTTTCCCTTAAAAAGCACAGATTACAGAAAGTGACTCAAAAGGGAAAAAACCCTTCATAGCATGCATTCTGTGTACTGCTGCTGCTTCAAGTTCAATTTAACATGCTTCAATTTATAGAAACACTACTGGAAGAAAACAAAGAGCATCTGACGACAAATTTAGAAGCTTCAGTCAGTGTATTTCTAGTGAGAACTTGACTACATACTGATGTTTATCAATTATTTAATCTAAATTAATTTGCAAGTGTAGAATGTATTTATTAACCACTACCAATGAAGGACTGTAATCTGCAAGTGAGATCAAGAAAACTATTCCCACAAAACTACTCATAAAAAAAATCCATTATTTTTGATACAAGTTCATTAACTGACTTCAAAATTCAAACTTCTTGAAAAAAATTTTGGACTCTTCTTCTGTAGACTAGGCACACTTAAAATTTGCTTACTTTTTGTGCTATAAAGTAAAAATATTACAATAACAATCCTTTGAAAATTCCAGCAAGATTCCAGCTACCTTAAGGCATTCATTCAGCCAGAAAGTAGAATTAAAAATAAATGAAATCTTTATCCTGTGACTCATGCAGAATTTCTGGGTAGAGAAGTTAGATAACTATCATTCATAGCTACTTCCTCATGAAAGCACAAATCACAATTCAGTAGCACAAGCCAAAAATGTTATTTTATTTTTTGGCAAGCACCATAATCGGAAGGTAAGGCATCACCAGAGAGGACTTAAACGTCTGTATTTTATTTCAATTTAAATCTCCATCATATCGCAATATTTCCACAAAAGCTTTTATCCCAGTCCAAGTACCACACTATTTATGGAGTTTTACTCTCTTCAAGTCTCCTGAGTAAAGATAGCTTGCTGCAAGCCATTTTGAAGGTGGAGAGATCATGGCGAGCGCCCCAGCAGCCTAAATAATTTGCATGAGCTGCAGTTATGATTGAATAACTGCGAAACTGCACTTCCAGTCTACTGATGAGAACCAGAATTCAAGTGCTGACTCTTTCGGATTCACTTAAAACTGTATAGCAGAATACAGCACAAAAGTATCCAGAAATATGCATATTCTAATCTGTGCTCCAGGGATAGTGTGTGTGTATACACACACACAAAGCAGGTACAGCCAAGAGACAAAATACACTGATACCTCTAATCTTCTATTGAGGAGACAGTCGGTTACGTCAAATAGAATAGGAACACTGTTTGGATTTTTCTTAATCCAGACAGCAACTAAGCATGTACTTGGACACAAGGTAATTAATAGGTGCTTCCCAAGATCCCCCCAGTTACCATTATGAGGAAGGTAACATACTTGTGATTGTGTGACAGGGGTTTAGTACACGGCCAATCACACTAGGGCCACTAAGGAAACCAGTGCAATTAGTCAAGCATGCTTTGGTAACACGTGTCTCTGGATGCTCTGTTATAGAGGGTAAACCCAGCAAATGCTTCCTTCCCAGAGAATCATGGATGCTTTTGCAGAGTTAAGTTACCTTAACATATTTTGCATACATCTGTTCATCCAGCGGAAAACTTTGGATATTTCTCTCATCTCTGGCATGGAAAGTACCTAATTTAATCCATTTGTTTGTTGGATACCTAGAAAAGAAACAATGGAGTCAGATAAGGAAACATAAGAACCCACTGTTTACAGACATTTGCTGAAGTTTCCCAAAATGTCTTTTCACAGAAGAAATATTTTTTTTTCCCAGTCACAAGGTAACAGCAATGTGTTTTTTTATGGAAAGAAGAGTTGCAAGATAAGGCTAGGCTCAACACAAAACCTCAGCACTGCCTCTTCACAAACTTAAAGTGTGCAAGCCCTTGAAGGATGAAACCTTATACTCGATCCAATTACTGAAATTCAACTAGCCTACAGTACAGATTCTGGCACTGAAAAAGTCACCTCAGATGAACACTGAAGAACATGATAAGTGACAAGTTGTAAATATTATTGTAAGCAAGTGGCAAAACACTATGAGCAAAGAGTTAGAACAACAGATCAAGTTTGGAAAAGTCAGAATCCACACACTTCGAGCACTGAAGAAGAAAGTGAGCTTTTTTTGATACACTGTGCAAATGTCTCCTCTTTCACACACCACAACAATCCGCTCAATCCCAAAAGTACCGGATGTACAACATTGTCTAAAACACGATAAAGCTATCCTTTAATCAGCCATTTGGCCAACCAGTACTATTCTTATCCCTTCAATAGTGGTGTCTTCTTTTGTAAATAGTTTGGGGGGTTTTTTGGACAGAGGTCAGCATTGAAGACAGTTTAAGACATGTGAAAATGGTCTGAATGACACGAGAAGGGACAGTCTACAACCTTAGTGGCATTCTTTTAAGAAACGCTCATTTTATGAGCTGTCATCCACTACCCAGCTACTGCATAGTTTCTACTGTTTCATTGCTACTTTTCAACAAATATTTCCTTTTCATTTTTAAGGTGGAAAAGGGGAAAAAAATTACAGGAAGCATGGAAAGAATACAAACCATGTCTTCTAGGACTTCACAGTTGCCTTTCATATGAAAAAACCCCACCAGTAACTGATAATATACACAGAGAAAAATCCATGTGGAATCAGAATCATAGAATGGTTTGGGTTGGAAAGGGCCTTCAAGATCATCTAGTTCCAACTCCCCTGCCATGGACAGGGACACCTTCCACTAGACCAGGTTGCTCAAAGCCTCATCCAACCTGGCCTTGAACACATTCAGTGTTCCCAGCCTTGAACACTTACTAAGTGTAAATTCACAATTAATTACACTCTGCACAATAACAGGCATGCAGAGATTATGTTTTACGAATCCATCCGTTTATTCCATGTTTCATTCCAAAGGGCAGGTTTTGATAACGTACCTGTCACTAATAGACACCAGAAAGTCTTTAGGAGTGGAAGAGAATAACTCATGATTTGCAATGTCAAGCTGCTTTACTTGGACTGGTTCACAGAGCTCGATAACAAACCTTGAAGACAAAAATGAAATTATTTTTAAAAAGCACTTTTCCTACAATTACAATCCTCAGCCTTCTACCTTGTTACCACATCCTTCAACAAGTATAAAAGAACACTACGAAAATGCTGTACGATAGGGTGGCATCTTGCATTGCTCCCTTCAAAATCACTAGCCACACTTGCCCACGTTATCTAGCTTAGTAACTCTAAACAGCACCAAGAACAGCTACAGAAGCTTCATCCATCCTGCACCCAAAGGCAAAAAGTCACAGAACTAAAAAATATTGACAGCAAACACCACTTAAACCACACCTGAAACACCAGTTAGTACATGGTAAATGCTGATCATGTGTCCTACAATTATCTGATGGCTGGGGAAAGAAACCAAAATCTTTGCCTGAACACTCAGTGCTTTCTCTTCTGCAAGATTATAATTATGCAAAACCCACAAATACAAAAGTGAATGAAGTTTTTCCCTTAAACTTCCCTCTTAATACCAGATACAGAATTCTACAGGGGACACAATAAAGTGCCTCCCACTAAATCTGTCAGAGTTCCTTACACACACATTTGAGGCAGACACACCAAGGTGGTGTCAGTCCCACAGGATACGTACAGTCCCACTGCAATGGAAAAGTAGAACTGCTCCTGTCATACAAGCAAACCTCAGTAACCTACCAGATTTTAGTACTGCAAGGGTTTAGCATGTAAAGGTCCATGTTTTCCATCAAAATAGCTGAAGTGCTCTGCGTAAAGAAGAGAATTAGTATTTTCAGTTGTATGGTAGATACTAACGCAGAACCAAGGGTTTTTCCCTCTCTCCAAAAATAAGTTTGATGTCAGTTACACAGACTAATAGCAAATTTCATAACATTCTAAGCAAGATAATACACAGGAGACAGCATGCCATACTGCTATAGGGCAATTACAGATTATTTACTATGGCAAGCTATTTAATACAACTTTGTTAAATTTCTATACCAAGTAGACTCTGTCCTGCCTTCCAAACTCACTTAAAGATGTAAACTATAGCAATTCCTCTTAAAACAAGGGACGGATTAGAGTTCATGTTCAATTTCTGTAAACAAAAAAAAAAATCACAATAAACCCAAACACAACAATAAAAGATTATTTTGAAAATCGGCATTCAGTTTTAAGTAAGTGTACTCTTTGTACTACTTCTTGCATAAGAGTAAACTGAAATAATGCACACTAATAATTAACAAATGCTTACCTTTGCCTCTGGATTCGCTGCCAAAATTTTGGCACCACACTCTACAGAGGCATAGTTATTTCTATTTTTCTGGACCTTTTTTGTGGAATGCTGTACACCAGCAGCAGAAGGGTGCATTGACTGACCTAGGAACAAGGAAATATTGTTTCGATGGTTTGCTACAGTAGCAAAAACTGTTTTCACTTTCAGGGAACTTCTGCTCACTGCTTTTATACAATAAATGCTATCAATTATGTAGTTCTGGTAGAAAAATGAAGTTCCAGGCTGCATTCAAATTCAGACAAGTTTCACTATTCAAATTTGTCCTGGTTTTGGCTGGACAAAGTTAGTTTTTCTTTTTAGTAGCTAGAATAGCTCTATGTTTTGGATTAAATATGGGATTTGTTATGAGAATACTGATAGCACACTGATGTTTATAGTTGGTGCTGAGACATCAAGGACTTTTCAGCTTCCCATGTTTTGCCAGTGTGCAGGAGCACAACAGCCTGAGGGGGGAACACAGCTGAGACAAAGGACTCACATCTCCTTTTATGATTTGAATTTAGATTTAGGATTGAGGGCCAAATTGGCCAATGGAATATTCCATACCATGTAACGCCATGCCCCATACATAGACAAGGGTCAATCAGGAAGCCGAATTCTCTCTCTTCTGGGGGACATTCTTTCAGACTCTCCAAGTTCTACCTCTTGCTCTCTTTTCTAGCCTCTCACTTGTCCAGGATTGCAGTTTTGGGACTTACCTGTTTCAGAATCACTTGCCGAGATGGGGCAGGCATTGGTCATCAGGTGGTGAGCAATTACACTGTGCATCACTTGTTTCTATATATTATCATTACATATATATACACACATATTATTATTATTTTACAATTATTACTTTAGATTTTATATTATTATTATTAAATTTTTCTTATCTCACCTAAAGCCACAAGACTCCTTCCCTTTTCTCCTTTAATTCTCTTCCCTTCTCCCCAAGGGGTGGAGGAGGGTGAGCAAGCAGTTGCATGTGGTATAGTGCCAGCCAGATAAAACCAAGACAAAATTTGAGACAAAATAAAAGTGGTCTGTATTTAGACCAAATCAGTGAATCCTGAACTTACTCTTTTCTTTCTCCACTTCCATTACTTTCTTCTTCCATTCATCAAATGTTGGAATGTCTCCAGGATCCTTTGGAGTTATCACCGATGTAGGGTCAATTTCTCCTGTTTTCTTATACTCTTTCTGCAAAAGAAAGAGTCACCAATTGTGAATATTTTTCAGTACCAACAATGAAAACAAAGATGAATGCTTTCAAAAAACTAATAAAAAAAAACAAAACAGAAAAGAAACATGTGATGATTTCTTTCCAGAATTATAGATTCTTTCACTGAGATGCTGGTAATTTTTGTGGCTAAACTAATACATTTTAAATAAAGCACAAGCATTGTGCTTTTCTTCAAGATTTTTTCTTTTCCTCCTCCTAAGGAGAAAATATTTCCCCGTAGCAAAAATCTTCAAATATGAATGTTGGTCATGTCAGAGTTCCAGAGGTGCCCTGGAGTTTCTGAACACCTCAAAATCAGTAGAATGAAATCTAATTTTAAAATATTTTATATTTAATGATCAAAGAAATAATGTTTTCGTCTTGCCTAACAAAGCAGCAACCCTTTTAAGTTAACCATACACTATATCCCTTCAAGTCTTAACTTCTCCTTTGTAGAAACACATTTCCAGCACACACCACCAGATGTGCAAAAAGCTTTTGTTAGACATTTCAAGTATAAAGCTTATTTTGTAGACAACATTTTACAGGTAGTTTCCAGAATGACTGCTTTGTAGGTTGACATTTTCTCTGCACTTAAGGCAAGAATTATTTCACATACAGTTTTATAGTTGAAAGCATTCAAAAAAGAGCCAAACCCACATATTTCATCAAAAGTGACAACAGAATTCTTCACATGACTACACTGCAACAGAACTTTAGATGTGGCATACCCCAAAATACATCTCCACGTATATTTAGAAATGAGAGGACCTAAAAAAGTCCTGTATCTTCCTCTCCCAAGAAAGTTAAAAATATAAGATCCTCCTTGGGCTATGACAAAAGCAGCAAGTCAAAAAAACTGAGTAAGCAATGCCAAATCAGGTTGTTGCTTAATTATGACATCACATCAATGCCATAATTATTTAAATTGCAGTCTTTAAAGCATTAGGTTAAATAAAGAAAATTTTGGCTTCTTTTTTTTTAATAATGGTTTACACTACTTTGTTTGTAGTAAGTTCTTTAGAAGACTCTTCCTGACTGCAAGTAATTATTTTAAGTCACACTGTACTTTGTTCGATAATCCTGAGAAAAACTACTGAGTTTTAAAAGAGAGTTATCCCAGTTACTAGCGGCAGTTTAAATGTGATCTTAAACCAGAAAAAAACAGTATTGCCATGGCCTTGATTGTTCTTTATGTATTTAAAAAAATCTAAGCACTGGGAAGTGCCTTACAGTAAGAATATAAAAGCAATCATACAGTTAAGTATAAAAGTCCTGGCTAGCTAAATATCCCACTTTAACAATGGCCAAATAAGATACCTAGGAAAGAATAAAAACACACCGAACATTTTGCATTTCCTTCGACTGTCAACTTTGCCTCTAGCCATCTGCTTGCTACTCAGGAATTTCCTGACTCCATCAACATTCAACCCTCAGACTTCTCTTCTACAAGCTTACCTGGACTGTGCAAAATCCCCTCCTTTTTTATTTTTAAATGTATGTAAAATAATTCAGCATCCACAGCATCCTGTGGGAAGTCCCAGCTTAACTACCTGTTACGTGAAGAACATTTCTTCTGGATTTTATGCCAGATAGTTTTATTTGATTTCCCCAACTCTTGTATTTGAAGAGACTTAGCTCAGAAAGACTGTTCTGTGCTAATGGAACAATCTTGCTGTCCTCTTCTCCCAGTTTATTACACCCTTGTTGAGATGGCAATATCAGAACCATATGCAGTGCTTAAAACGTGAAGACTTGTGCATTTATACAGTGACAATCAGAAAAGCAATGGATACCACTCCTCTTCAGCAATGGTGATAACCTAACAGAGGGCATCAGGCTCCGGTGTGTCCTGAGTGGTTATCAGTACTGCTTACCTCCCTTTTTAAGTTCTCTGAGGCATTCAGAGCAGACTTCTGCTCATCTGCCTCCTTTTCAGCTGCTGAAACTTTCGACTCAAACTCAGATTTTGTCTTCTTTCCCTTGCCATGCGAAGATGATATGTTCTCTATATGTTGACCTGCAAGGCTGAAAGTTTTAAGAGTATTAGGACCTACAAAATGACCACATTTTCAGCCATATGCAACGTTAAGCACACATACAAACACGTAGATAAGAAGCAAGAACATGCAAATGTTTGTTGCAAGGCCAGGATAGAAAAGAACAACTACCTTTCAGACTCACAACCTACATCAATACTCACCTTTCTGGTGGACTGACAAAAGAGGAAGGCTCACTCTGAGGGTCAGCCTCAAGTGTCCCACCAATATCACAGTCGGGTTCTGACTGCTCAGCTTCACTAGAGCTGACTACAGGGATATCAGCATGGGAATCTTCCATTGCACTGAAGGGAAAGAAATAACATGCTTTTTACCTTTCTGGTAACACAAGTAACCTTGCTAATCAACCACATAACTAAAGATATTTGAAAGTCTTAAAAGAGCAACAGTCTCACAGAAATCATTATGAAAAGAGGAATGAAGTATGCTATACTGGCATTCTCAGCTGTACCCATGCAAGAATGGAATTTCCTTTTCCAGACTGTTTGTCTCAGCAAAGGAATTCAAAGCTAGCTTCTCACGTCCCAGAACTCTCATCTTACCAGACACTGCAACGGATAATTTTCCCCCATCATCACTACAAATTAAGAACAGCTTCGGTTACCTGACTGCCAGCAATTTTCCCTTCCAACAAAGGAATCAAACACAAGGCTGAGTCCATCAATAAAAGCTCCTAACGTTCCCAAGTCAATGGGGAGTAGTCAGAACAGAACTTGGCTAAAACTAGAGGAGAAAAGGGGTGGCATAATGATACCCAGTAGAGCCAGCCAGACTTCCTTTCCACTACATTTATTTTTTTTTTGCTAGCGAAATAAAAATGAGGTACCACAGCAGACCATTATCCAAGCTGCATCAGCGGCCTGAACTAGCTAATCTGCCCACTGCTTTACTTCCTCTCTCCCGGAAAGGCTGAACACACCACATCAGACAAACCCTAAGGCAAAAACTGAAAAGGCAGCCTTCCTAAACGCTCTTTAGGAATGATGGAATGGGTGGAGAGAAGATGGACAAATAATAACTTTCAGTTGATAACTTCTGAGACTGTCCTCTCTTCCCCAGTACAGGAATGACTTTCATATTGATCTAGAAGGTTATAAACCAGATTTAATAAAAGCTTTATTGTGCCTCCTAAATTTCAACATAAGCTTTCTTCAATGTCAGCGGCAAACTAGGTTAATCCAATATCATGATACAGAGCTGCTAAAACACAAACAGCACGACAGCAACTTAAAAGGGGATCTTTTTGGTTCTCTGACTGCTACAATTATCAACAGAAGCAGCTGCAACAAACCCAGGGAGCCAATTTTAGTACCCTTCATATGATAAAGTTCCCACAGTATAAAACAAAAAACTAATAGGTATTCAAGACTTTTTGCTATGTAGCAAAACCTAACAAACGCTAGGAATACAGGAATTTATCAGCTACAAACAAGGAGGGGTTTTTCTGAATGCCCTAACACACACACACACATCTGAGATGCACACAGTTTAGCTCTGCGTGTAACACTTCAATGACTGAGGTAAGGTTGACCACTATACTTAAAATTAAAAAGCTCCATATATTCTTGATCTCAGTGGATAGATGGCAGTATGAATAATTATCAACTGAATAAAATATGGGACAAGTATGAACTTAAAAATACCCTGGTATCAGCGTGTACCTGACTGGCCTCAAATAACTAATTTTGGCAGAAGGTGAGCAGCACAAGCCTAAAAGCTGTAGTTCTCCCTCTCCTTTGGGTACTTTCATTTGTTAGTAGCTTTGCCTTTATTTTTGAAGTGCATTACCAAGCTCACTTTGCATGGCAGCTGTCTTTACCTGCAGCCAGAAGAGGAGCTCAGATTATTTTTCAAGTAGTTTTTCCAAGTTTTCCTCAGATTAGGTCTGGATAGAAAAGCTACATTCAGTGCTGTCCTAAAAAAGATTCATTACAGAGTAAAAATAATTTGGAATAAAATTACTTCCAGAATATTTTGACTAAGTGGTCCTGCTGGAGTATCAGACCGGTAACACCTAAGGGAGCTGGACTTTGTTACATTGATGGGAATGAGCATCTAAAACAGGAAAAATGCTGTCTAACACATGCAACTGAGTCTTTTTAAAGATCTTGTTTAACTATGGAACTGGACTACAGCTGCTTTGGATATTAATCTGTACAAAAAGAGACCACCTATTACTATTTAAAGTTAAACTGAAGTTTGAAATAACATAAATATGCATCTCTCCTATATTCATTCTATCCTTTCTTCCTGTAAATGGTAGTAGCGTGAGAGCACTGCTGCCAAGCATTAACTAACATATCAGGTGCTCCAAAACGAGTTTCCATTTTCATTTGTTTCATAGGTCGAGTCTTCAGAGTTCATCACTCTAGTACTCCCCAACTACGACAGCAAGACTGCTTTCAACAATTACAAGACACCAAGATAAACCTTCAAAAGAAAGTAAGATCCTGAATCTCCTTCTAAGACCTGACAGCAGTAGGACTTACAACACTTGACACAAATGAATCTGTATGGTAGTTAACAAAAGCTATAAAAAGAAACATGCCAAAATTACATTCCAGTCTTGCTTTACAAAAATTGTAAATTTGGGAAGCTTGATTTTCGAAGGCTTGCAATTAAAGACACTCATGAAGTACCAGAACGTACTTAAGCATTAGCCCCAGCAGAGTAGGCAAGATCAGTCAACAGGCAAGATTTCCAGACTTTTTCTATGGTAAACAAACTAAATTGGGTAGACCAGAAAAACTGGACTCTAAAAAAACCCAAAGCATGAAAGATAAGTTGACTTCATTTTTAATGTGTTGAATTTTTATCTACCAAAATATTAGATCTTTATCAGTAGGCAATTAGAAGAATACATTCCCCTTAGCACACATTAAAAAGCCCAGGAGAATTTTGCGGAAGTACCTAAAAGTATATACACATGAATTTCCATACTACAGTTAACATTTGCTAGCCCAGCACTCCACAAAAGAAGGGAAACAAAATTAAGCACATCAACTCTTGAAGACTCCTTGCAGCAGATGTAGCTCTGCAATACACTACTAAGTATCAGAATTACCAACTGTCTTGGTTGTGTTTACACTAAAATTTGCTATTTCATCAAAAGTCTATTAATATCAGAACTTAAGACTGCTCTGTTGTAAGTCCTGAAATAAAACACTGCAAAATTCTTCCTTAACTGAAAGCAAAGGCCATCACTGAAGCAGCCTTGATGCTTGTTATCAGAGATGTTAAAGCACATTTGCTAAGGGCAGAAATCCTAATGGTAAAAACCTGAGGGCTTTTATAGTACAGATTACCTAGCACGTAGAAGTGTATTTTTTTCTGTCAAAGCAGCAGCTTAGAAACTGTTAACGGCAATAGCATGACATGTCATATGAGTACATAACTCTTAATCCACGCACTGTGTAAATAATGGCATATTCCATTAGCATTGACATCATAAACCAAAGCGCAGCAAAACAATCGTGTATAGCAGCCTAGTCTTATCCCTACTAAACCTGAAGAGGTAACCTTTTTAACGACATCAGAGTAAGCGATATTCTCTCAAAGATCCAAACAATAAAATAAAAAAGCTTACTCAGGCTGCGAGACTGGAGGTATCTCTGAGGTAGGTGAACTGGAAATGTTTTCAGTGCTTGCAACTATGTCAGATGAAGCTTCACTTAAATCTACTGAAGGTGGAGTCTCAACTTCAGGCTGGCTTGCTTCACTCACTTCTGTCGTCTGTGAAAACATTACAGATGAACATACATTTTCCAAAACTTGAACAGGAAAAGCATTCATACAGTAACACCTACTATGGAGTTTTAACAGTTCAGTAGTTCTGATTTCTGTCATCAATGAACCTGAAAACCAGACAGCAAGAAATATATTTTCTTTCTTCATAAACCTAGATGGTATTCAGTGCTACTTTGGGACAGTTGCAACACTCTTCCATGGTATGCAATAACAGTGTGAAAGTATTAACTGGAGAAGGCATATATGACAGCTTCCTCAACCATGCTTTTCTATGAAGAGACAGTCACAAGGAAACAAGCTTGAATATTTCAGCAACTGAAATAAATGGTTCTATTTGCATGCTCCATTGCAACAAAATTTCCATTTACTGTTTTCATCCTAAGCTTAATTTTGGGGAAGTCTTTCAACCTTATCACTCCAATGGAGGTCCAAAATTGTTGTTGTAACTGAACAAAAAGATAAATTGCTTATCACTTCTGAGAGACTAGTAGTCTTGAGTCTTATTTATTCTGTCTTCAGTTCATAAGGTCTTGCACAGCATAATCAAAATAAGGCTTTCTAAATCTGTAAGAGTACCTAAACACTGAAATAGGTCAGATTAACAGTATTGTCTATTGCTGCAAGAGTTAAACAAGAGCCTCTTGTCAACAGCTGGATTACTCCAAGTCATCTAATTGAACACGAAGAGGTCTGGAATGTTTTACTATAGAATTACATATCTCGACTAGGCAATATATATTCAGAGGTATGTCTTAGGTACGTTGTCTTGTAATCTTCAAAAAACATATCAAATAAATCCTCTTTAACAGCAGGCTTTAACATTTAACACTGAGCTCCGACTTAACAGTATTAATGGCACGTACAACTGAGACACAACCTTTTTTCCTTTTTAACAAAGGCAATGAAATTGACAGAAGTCATGAAGGATCAAAGTTAAAATGGACTGCTACAATCACCGAGCCTGATCCATATAAAAGACCTCAGCAAGAGGTTTTTTGTTTTATTTATAAAGACACATCCATACCCATAACATTAAATTTTAATTTATCTTGGAAACATTTATTTAGTCAGTACCTACAAACATTAAATTACTCTATTACATATGCACACAGGAAACGCAACATCTGTTAGCTCACACGCGTTCTCCTTCATTGGAAACATGAGTCTGACAGCAACCCTGCACGCAAGTGAAACGCGATAGATGGTTACTAAGAGCTTTAGACGACCAAAATGAAAGACACCGAAATCCAAGAAGCATTTGAAGAGTGTATGGAGACAGTGAATGGAATAAAAGTCTTGCCTGGTCAGATTTTGTAAAGCCATCAGGTAGCTCTGCTGTAGAGTAACTCTGTGTACTTGAGTCCGCATGCTCAGACTCCAGCCTGGGACCAGCCTCTTCCCCCTAGTGCATTAAAGGCAAAACAAGAGTGAGTAGGCAGTAACACAGGCCTCCTATTCTGGTGCAAGGAGCTACCCTTGGTACACTACCTTTACAACCACCAAAACATCCACAAGAAGTTAAGCTACATGAATCTTCAGAGCCATTGCCTACGTAGGTTTAAAATCTCATCTGTACAAAGACCATGGGGCAAGTTAAAACAAGTCAGTTAAATCTTCACAGGAAAGACTGTTTTAGCATTGTCTAAATCGTTCAATTTGTGTGCTGAGAAAGTTACTCATTCTGCTACGAGCTCCCATGTGGACAAATCCTCCATATCTCCTCGCTGCCCAAAATAGGAGGGGAAAAAAAAATATCCTAAGATGACTTGCAACAGACAACCGTTAAAAAAAAGATAACACTTGGCACATTTCAGTTATAGCAGTCTTATCAGCAGAACTACAATAATTTCTAAAGTCTGCTGTAACCTTTTAAAGCAATTTTCTCTTTTACAACTAAAGATTTACAATAAAGTGCAGTTAATTCATAAAGTAAAAAAGAAAACACGCTTGTGGAAAAAAGTTTTAAAACCACCAGGATGTAGAACCAACATGAATTTACTTGCCCCTCAAAAATGTATTTTTTTTTTTTCAAGTTGTGACTACAACATACGCAGGTTATTTCTGAGCAAAACTTTAAAATACAGCAAGAAATCTGGTAGAAAATTACACACCTCGCATTTCATAAGGGCTAGCTAAAATCCTGCGGTCAAATACTGAAAGTGCTAGTGTTTGGACCCAAAACGGGCTATGCTATGCAAGCTTACGTGACCATATCAATTTGAGAGAGTTAAGGCATACACTGGAAGAGCAGGAAGTACAAATTTGAGCAGGCAAATCTTAAAGTCAACAGCTAAGCAACATTTTTCCCCAAATATTATTAGCTCACATCCTAGTCCCGAAGATTAAATAGCATCAATGCCTTGAAGAGACAACTGATTTAAGGAAAACAGATCAAGGGCTGCAAGACTGCTCTTTTTGAGCAGGACAGCTCCAGCAGCCTAGTCAGAAGTAACAGATGCATGCTTAAGATTTCTCATACACCCAAGAGACTTTTCTTTAACGAGTGAAAACCACAGTACATCATCTTTGGGTTTAAGTTCTGAAATCTGTTTTACAGCGCAGCCATGTTAATAGAATGAAGAATGTTGCAAAAAAGTAGGAAAACATACACCAGTGGCTTCCCAGTCTCAGAGCTTATTTGGTTTTTCCAGTTTTATTACATCAGCCAGTAAACTCCAGCAGGACTTTTTTCAGGCAGCCAGAAGAACAGAACTGAATGCTCTTTGGCCACACAAGCTGGCAAAAAAAACAAACCTATCCTAGATGTTGAAGTGCTTAAGAAACCTACAATATTTAAAGTATTTTTTCCAGGTCAGGCAGCTCTCCACTTGAGTCAACTAGAATGCTCAATACACATTCCCCAGTTTTCATGTGGCATATAACAGCTTTCTTGGAAGGAGGACCATGAATAGCACTACTACTCATCGATGGAGGAAACGGATTCCCAATAATATCAATACTACCCACACTTATCATAGGACTGATTCTTTACCTGTGTAAGCAAATAAATGAAGTCACCATGACTTTCTGATATGACCCAACAGCTTGGGAAATCGCTACGAAATTGCGATATGCAGAAACTTGTTATGAGTTAATCAGGGTGGGACGATTACACTCAATTTAATCTAAAGCACTGAGTAATATAAATAAGGGACAGAATCTTGTTTATTAGCGTTTCACATATGTATTTTAGCTTTGATAATTTTTGTTAAACAGGAGGAAAACAAAGTGATAAATATTGACCTAATAAGTCTTCTATTTAGGACAGCAATCATTTGTGCACTGTTTTTAACACAACACAGATGCAACTGGCGTACTGTGACCTAAAGCTACCCAGGCCATCACCCCTTATCACGGTCTCTAGAGCCACATACTACCCCTGGTGCTCACTACTTCTAACATCTGGCACCCAAATAAAAAAAAAACCTGAGTCACCATTACTGGCTTTACTATTTGTTTCACCACCACACAGTCCAGCTGTATTGTTGCTTAACTGCAACAAACTCGAAGGAAAACAAAAACTTGGGAATGTAATATCATGGTTCACAGAACAACTGAGTACATCAAACATTCTGGCCAAGACGACTCTAGGAATCAAAGTGTATGAATCAATTGGGGCTTTTTAATTTTAATATCAAGTCAGAATGAGTAGCTAATTAACATGACTTATTCAGCATACCTTTTCCTGGACATTTTCCTCATTTGCCAGGGCATAAGCATCACCTGAAGCATATTGCACTGCTGATGAAAGACTGTCTTTACAAAAGACATGCCAAGTAGGAAGCCTATTAAAAAAAAAAAGAAAAAAGAGTCAAAGTCTTGATTTAAAAATGGATAAATTATATCCTAAGATTCCCTCAGCACTGTCTCCCTCAACCTTTCTTCATTTGTTCTCAAGAGGTGCCTAAAAAATAAAAATATGCACATACAGTTCATAGATATTCATTTATTAAAACTATTGGAGGACTTGAGAAAGTTGAGAAAACATGCTACAAATTTACTACCTCCAAAAGACCAAAAAAACAGCAAAACAGTTATTGGGGTGATACAATGTCACAAATTAGTTACTGTAAGTTAGAAAGAATTTGAACAAACTATATTCTTTGTCATACAGTAATGAGATATCTTTAGCAATTATTAAGTAAAAGCTAAAGCCACAGATTAAAAAAATAAACCTGCTTATTTCCCTGTACTGATCACACCTGCAGTAAGCAGCATCAAGCACACTTAAAAGAATTAGAGAAAATAAGTATATTAAACGAAAAGGCCCACGCAAAAAACAATGAAAACATGGAGACAAATGGCAAACCAGGTGCTGGCTTTAGCTGCAACCTCCATAAAGATTTGGTTTGTACGTTCAGTCCCCAACAGTTTTGCTTCTCAGTAGAAATGGATTTATTTCTGTAGGAAATCCAACATCTACACAAACACTTGCATCAGAACAGCATCTTTCGTTGCTTATAGTGTTTGGCCCCTCCACATCCCGGATAACATACGAACAGCAAACCATTAGCCTTGGAGACCCAAATGCAGATCTCTAAGCATACAAGAAATCTGACAACCTTCTGACATAAATTTTGAAAACCAAAACACAGCCTTAACGGTCAGTCATAATAACAAGAATACTAGTAGGTCAGGACTCACACAACTGGGATCAGCCTAGTGTTTAGAATTTGAATTACCAGCCATCTTAAAAACCTGAAGATCACCTTTACTGGAAAGTACATGCTGCAAAGATTCCTCCACCAAGGAGGAACCCATGCTGCAGTAGACCGCAGTCAAGGACTAAATTTTAAGAACCGTTTAATGCATATGTATACACACACACAGAGCACTACTACTTCAGGTTGCAGACAACCACAAAATCAGGCTTTTGTTGTAGCGATAAACCTATTGCTCCTCTTCCACCCACATCAGCAGGGAGTGTTAGCATGGCACTAGCCCCTCTAAATCCAGGTCTCTTGCCACCAGAAAAGCAGAATACAGCAGACAAGGAATGTGTGGGATCTGACATACTATTCTGGAGATGGGCAAATAAGCTGTCCCAGGTCTGTCTCAGTCCCACTGCGCCTCAGCAATTTCTCTTATGTTTGGGGTAACTACTTTCTTCTAAACTAAATGGAAGCCCTCAAGTCAAGCAGAAGCAGCTGCAGACATCTCTGTTAAGTTGAAAATGAGGTGTATGCATTCTCACACATCTTAAATTCCCATCCCATCATGTAATTACTTGTTTGTATTACATTTTCCATCAAACCTCTGTCTTAGCCTAAGCACAGGACATACATTTAAGATACTGAATGATATGTTACCAGACTTTTATGGCCTTACTTTCTTAGCTCTTACTTGGAAAAAATTAGTTATGCAAATACTTCAAGTCATTTATTTTTCTGAAAAGTGGTTTCAATCATTTTATGGAAAAATTTTCTCTTGCTCTTAATTCTAGTATCTCTGGTCTCTCCTTCCAGCTATGTCGACTCCCTGGTTCTTCATAAAAGTACAAGAGAAAGATCAAAAATTCTACAGAATATACTGTAGCTCATTCTGTTCTTTTATTATACATGCATACAAATATGTTATTTCCTATTTTGCTTACACTAAGGGGGGGATCTTCAGTGATCTGTACAGAGCAACATTAAGTCCCTAAATGTAGAAAATGAAAGACATCATTTGCTGTGAATCAGCATTTTAAAACACAAGGTTTATTTTCACAACTGTATTAGTAACAACTTCAGCACTTGCAGTCACAAAAAAGCACTCAGCAGAAAACTCACACATTTCTTGCCTTAACGTATTGACACTTTTAATGCAACAAATCATGCTTTATTAGAGCATGAATGCAGCTTTTAGAAGAATGCAGTTTGACAGCTCAGAGATTTGAGCTATTCTGACATAATTTGTGTCCAATATCCAATTTGTTTATTTTCAGAAATTCTTCTTAGTCTACTCCCCAACTCAAACATGATGCCACAGGTCTCCCAGGAGCCCTCTAAGCAAGGGAGGGGACTGAATTCCTTTTGCATACGTTTGCATGCAGGCACCCACAGGAAAATCTGAGCCCCGTCACAACAGAGGATGCAGCAGGCAGGATATATCACTCACCTGCTGCCATCAAGCTCTGACAGAGCATTGAGAACAAATCCACAGAATGCAAGGCCACATGAGACCAGCCACTCCACGAGAAGTCAAATCAATCACCTTCTCAGGACCACCGCTACTCTTTTCCTTTTTTTTTTTCCTTCTATCAGCATTCTGCATATTCATTCAACAGGCTGATAAATGATACAGCCCACAATAAAAAGATTTGCCAAATGGCATAGCACCTCTATTAAGCATTTCTCTACATGCAGAAAGGCAAACAAACATGAAACCTAAGTATTAGTTTCCTGAGAATAAAATTTTCCTTGAGTTTAGTGAACTTGCACAGTAGCTTCTACATCCGTATATATTAACATTCTTCCCATTCTCATGGCAAAAGAGCAGTATTTTAATATTGACTCGGAAGCAAGCAGATCCAATGCCCAAATACTACCGGCGATTAGTCACTAGATATACCGTCTCAGATACAAGGCATATCTTCAAATGATGTTAACAGTGTAGAAATACTTCAAGAGATCGTTCCAAACACATAACCAACAGTTAGTGACTTACACTGATACAGAAGTTTTCAGTAGTTCCATTTTTGCTGAGTATGACTCAAAAAAGCAGATGCTATTAAACCTCAAAGAACAAAGAAATTTAAGCACAGGACTTTTAGTATCATCATTAACGCAGTTTAAAAGCTATTGTCTGTAATAAGCCATGAATTTTTCAGCTTGATATGCACAAATCCAAACGCAAAAGCTGCAAGCCCAGGCACAGAAGGGGGGTGGCATGGATCTTTACCCTTCACAGAGCAGGCACATACTGTGGTTCCCTAATGAGGCAGAAAGTCTGCTCACCCCTATCCAAACGGCACGGTACGTTCATTATCACTATACAATTAGCTATGGTCTGCTGCTGGCTCTTAGGCCTTCCAAAAGGAACGCACTGAAATTCAAACACACAGGTTGTTTTGAAACTGCAGTGTAGGTTCTCTGTGAAAGACCATCCAGTTCTAATTTAGCTCCAACTCTAAGTAATTGGGAAGGGGGCTGCAGAAGACTATCAGAGACAGTGAAACTACTAATAATTGTTTGGACAAACATAAAAATCAAGTAGAAAGTAACCAACTGGTAAGAAAAATTAATCATACAAGTTACAGCTGACAAAAAAAAATCTAAATTAGCAAAATCTGAAGGTTAGGGCAGTTTTTCCACAATTTGATCTTCCCAGAGAAGAACAGCCTAAGCTTTCATTTCCAAAGACTTCATACAAGAACACTGACGCTCACACAAGACTCAGTTCAAACACATCTGTCCTCTAAATGATTCAAGAGTTTTCTTTAATTCTCCCCTAAATGAGACCTATTTTTGGACACCGGAGAGTGAAGCAGTTCAAAACAATTTACAGCTGACACCTGTGAGACAGACTAATTTTAAGCAAAGGAGCAATCAAAGGAAGCTACCACCAGTGCACTGATCACCAAGCTCTCCTCCAATGCAGAGGGAACGGTCTCTGTCCAGAACCATCACTGACATCTTCTGCACCTCTTGGCAGGTTGTATTACCAACAGGTGCACCAATGCCCAACAGTTAAGAAGGAGAATGAGGATGTCACCGTCCCTGCCGTCACCCTCTACTGAAAACATTCATAGGATCAGTTCAGAACAGGCCCGTGCAAGAGAAGGCGAGTGGGTTTTGGACCCAGGGAGCAGAGAGCCGGCACAGCAGGCCTATGAATGGGGGAGAGGCACCTACTTGTTGGTTGAAGCTCATCTTCTTGATTACAGAATAATTTATGTTGGATTAATCAGGTAAAAAAAAAAAGAGAGGGTGAGGAAGGCAGGAAAATATCTTTTGCTTTGAACAAACCCTACAGGTCTGACTGCTATCACTACCCTACCCTAGCTGCCAAAGAGAAAGAAGGCTCTGTAAGAACAAGGAGCTCGGCAGATCCACAACCAGACTCAAGCCAGCAGTAACCTGCCTTCCAGCCACTGGTAATGCAGAAACATCAGCAAAAGGAGGGAACCCTCATCCTCTCCCCAGTAACTTACTGGAATCCGTCTTTGTCTCAGAACAGTTCAGCAAGAGGGACCTGCATTTAAAAGGGCCCACAAAATGAAGTAAATCTCCCAGAAAATGAAGACCGGGCTTTTAGGACAGTAACATTATTTCAACCAGTCAGAGGAAGAAAGCTATTTGCAAGGCACTGCCTGCTTTAGCACAATTTCCCCAGGCACAACTCTCATTTCTGCATGTCAAGTGGAAATAAGCCTTGATAAATGCAATGAAGAATCATTAATATTCCTTAATGCTGCTAAAAAACAAAAACACAAACACACAACACCCACACCACACACCTCTCTCCGTTCATTTAAAAGCCATTTACTACTACGGAAGACCAGCATGCATAACTAAGATAACTTTAAAAGCTGTGATGGATCTTTAAGGGAGAAAAAAGCTGAAGACTAAGATCTAAGACTATGGATCTAGACTGAGCAAGGATGCTGCCAGCACAACACTGATACTGTCTCATTTCCTATCACTATCCACTAACTACATTCATGTGCCACCAAAAAAAACCACAAAACAACTGAAGTTGGAGCTTTCTTGCAAATCTTTTACCAATCCATTGTATTGTGCAATTAATTTAGGCTTTTAATATCTCTCCCACTTGTCGCAAAGAATGTGCTCTCCAGACTGTCTCCTAACTGGAATGCGACACAAAAAAAGACAGTTACTTCACTTGTTCAGAGGAGCCCAACACAAAGACACTTCTGACTATGCTGAATTCCATACCTTTGAACAATGAGATTCCAACCATCAGTTTAAAATATGGCTTTCGGCATTTTAAATGCATTGGCATGCAAAGACTGCAAAACTGTAACACTGCACTGAAGAGTGTGGCTTAAGAGAATCCCCCTGCACTGTCAAACTCTACTTACTATCTTTAATGCAAGAGTATGGGGAAAAAGAACACATTCTGGAAAAATACAGTAAAACCTGATACTGGCCACAAAGACTACAGGAAAACAGTGGAACAGCCATGAACTGTGATTAAACTTTAAGGCCTTTAGAGTCCGTAGTAACATCTAACTTGCACATCTTTGAAGGTTTCCCTCACTGCTTAAATCCATGAGCTTCTCCACGAGGGTGCAATACCGCAAGGCTACTACAGGTAGGCTCAGAACCATCACCAGCTGCTTTGCACCAGCTCCTCATGCTTAAAACTCACTGCAAAGGCAACACAGCTTAACACAGTGCAAAGGAGTGGAATTTTAGCATCAATTTAGCAACATTAACTTTGCCCTACATCACTGTAAAACTGCTATCACCTGCCAGACATGTTATAATGTATTTTTAATAGACTTCTTACCTTTAAAGGACTTCAGCAATATCTTGACTGCCATTCCAAAAGTCATCCAAGCCAAGACAGTTCCTTTGAGCACCTAAGCTAATTTTGAACTGTTGGAATCTTGTACTGATATTCCAATCTAGTTTAAGTCATTTACACCAAAGTTTTGACTCATCTAAGCAAGAGTTCTTTGTTTTGGGATCAGTCTGTCTGTTATTCCAGCTCAGTACTTTCACCAAGAATTACAAGAAAGTTTTTCGACTTGCCCTTCTATATTACCTTGTTCTCAGTCAAAAGTTTTTACACCCAGAAACAACACCCTCTTCAGACAGAGGGCTGTAAGCACCTCCACGTGTTAAGACATTGTACATCCTCCCCTTGAAAGCACCACAGACTTTACCAAAAGTTAAATTAGTAATGAAAACTAAAGACAAGAAAAGTGAAAAAAACCCGAAGAGTATTCTGTAAGACACAGCAATAAAAACACTAAAGTGAAAAAGAACTAATAACAGGTTAGAGAAAGACTTTTCAGAAAAGGTTGAAATTAAGTGCTGAAGTAAGGCACATCTCATTGCAACAGGCAGAGTCTTACACATCAACACAGCAACCTCATGAGGTGATATATGCCACTTTAGTACACCAGTTGGTTGCACAAGAAACAAACCAATTTGAAGTTTCTAGGACAAATCTTTTAGAAGATACTGCAGGAAAGCACTTCACTGATTTTCAAATAATTTTAGAAGGCAAATATTCAATAATTGATTGAGCCAAGCATTTATTTTGCATAACACAGCAGAGTCCCTGCTTGCATACAGCACCTTCAACCTGAGCAGACTATAAGCTAGGCATATTCGTATGTGATTTTTAGGAGGCCAAGAGTTCCAAAGCAGCTTTTGTCTCAACCTTAACTAGAGAGCAAGGACACTTCCAAACAAAACACTCCATATCTAGGAACATACTTTTCATTCTGAAATCTGATGCCTGGAACAAAAGTTTTGATTATACGAACAGTGCCCAGATCACTCCATTCTTCCTGCCGCAAAGCGTGCACACAAAGCGCTTATTTTAGTATCAGCTGTCTGAAGACACTCCAGTAACTACACACGAGGAGAATCAGCAGCTAGCCCCAGCACGAGCAAGTTACACCAGCAGTTCTACCCAGATCAGTAGGGCACTCTCCTGGAAATACTACACTGAGGAAAAGAGGATTTCTGTGATAAGAGATGTTACACTGGAACACGAGCCCCTCCCGAACTTTACGACTCAACACCTTTCTGTTGTTAACAGACACAAGCTCAAGGTTTAAGCCAAAAGCCAGGGCCAACAAGTGTTCAATTAGCAAACCTCTACTTCCAACATCTCTACTCTGGCTTGCCCAGCTTTTGGCTGTGCAGGATAGAAGCAACAAAACAGACACCAGTGATGTTATCACACTGCCAATATAGCACTGTTTTTTCAGAGCTCTTCTTGCATTACAGAAGCTCTAAACAAAAATGTATTAGACTGTAATGCAAACCAAAACTAGAAATATTTTCTCTCATTAAAATTCACATAAATTGTCACATTTGATGTTACAGGGAGGAATACAAAGCCGTATCAAGATCTACCTCCTTCCAACATACTTGTATCTAGGCTTTATTCCCAGCTATGCCACTGATGCAATATGACCTTTGCAATTTTCAGGGTGCACTCCCATTATGGATTTCAGAGCCAGAGCTACTAGACTAGGGGTTTTCCTCCATCAGAAACAGCACGTCTTGCTGCCCGGTCACTTTGATTCAAGTCGTACTTTACTGATGCAGCATATTCACAATGTCATCTACAACTAAAGAATCCGGATGCGCACGTGCACTCAATCTCCCTTTTACTCATAGTTGTAAAACCAAGGATGATAAAAGAGTTCATAAAAGCTAAGTGCATCAGGATGTGCAAAGCACTTTCTGGGACAGAATGAATCACAGAGAGACAAATTAGTGCATGCATGATTTCTTTATTAAACTCATAGCTAACACTTTGAACTTGCAGCTTATGGTGGGCAAAAGCTCGTATTAGAACAATCTACACAGGTTCCTGTTCAAACCAGTGTCACAGCTACTCTCAATTCTGATAGTACTAGGACCCGCATAAGCTTCTAAATCCACACCGTTTATTCAGCTCTGTAGATTGTCAAACTACGAAGCACTACAAATTTAAAAAGTGTTTTTTACATTATGATCATCCACACAAAGCGATTAACTGAAGCATTAAAAGAAGAAATCTTTGTAAATTCAGGACAACAGGAGTCATTTGTCACATACAGTCAAAGCTCCAGTCTGCACAGACGCGTATTATTTTTAGAGCACTACATTCCTAAGCCGTACCTCCATCAAAAGCATTTCTCCAAAACGATGCAGCCATCCCAGCTTTTGAACTACTTGGAGCAACCTCACTGGCTCAGGTTAGTCAGAGCACTGTTTGCTCCAGTTGCAGAAAGCCCCAACTACCAACAACCTGCATAAGGATCCTGCACTCCCGAAGAGCGCCCTCACTGCCTTTATTGAAAGGATACCGGCTAACGAATCCCTAAACTTAAGGGTCTGGGTTTCTGTACACTTCCTAATACACAGATACATTTAAATTACAAGATGAGAGCTTTTTAGACAGTTTCCAGTTAAACTGTTAAATCAATCTTTTTTTCCTCCATTTGATTTTTATCAATTGGTATTTCTCCATTGGATCAACTTCTTTAGGCAAGCTTTAAAATGCATGATGGGAGATTGAGAAAAACTTTCTATTTGAAGCTTAGTTTCAAAGAAAGAAGCAACTGTCTCTCCAGAAATAAAAAGTTCAGTTTTTAGGTTTTTCTTTAAAAAAAAAAAGGATGCAGTATCCAAGTAGCCCCTAGGGTATTCTTGCAGTAATTCTGTTTTGTCTTGTGCTTTCCCCCCCCTGCTTTTTTGGTTTTTAATTTGATCATCTGTTGACCACTACTTTCATCTGTAAGAAAAGAGCTTCTCCTTTGAAGATTACATTCAAGACAACTAAATTTAAAAAGCCAACATCTATCACACATGCTAACATTTATACCACAAAGCCTTCCATTTACTATTTAAAGTTTCTTAGCTGCTTATGCGAACAAAGTTGCTGATTTTAGGAAAAAGTTAAATACATCACAACTTATGTCACATAGTCCAGCAACAAGGCAGGAATTAAAAGACTCTCCAATTACAAATCTGACACAGCTACTGCAATTAAAGCAAGCTGCAATGCTGTCCTGCAAACAGAGGATTTTAAATTCTCTAATGTAAATTTATGCTTAGACAACAGAGACTAGGGAACTAGAGTCATATCCCTCCCAACATCTAAATTAATCAAAAGCAGCCAGAGTGAACAGGCTGAACACACAGTCTGATTTTTTTTTTTTAAAGTAACAAAAGGTTTGGGATACTCTAGTGCAAGCTCTGAGATCAGTTAAGACACTGCTTGAAAGAGCAAGAGAAAATTCGTCTCATTTTTTATGCTAAACTTAGCGAGGATGAACACAGAAGTTGTCTGAGCTTTGCAGAACAAGTATATTAGTTCAGGAAGTTGGTTGAACATGATATTCCTCAGTACGGACTAGGTGCCTGAACTTTTTATTAAACCAAACAGTTTCGTTAAAACAACAGAACACAATCAACTCTGACAATCTGTATATCACTAAGCTGAGAACATCTTCGTTAACCAATTACCTCCAGGCAGAAACAGGTTATCAGCCCTCAAGACGCAGTAACAAGTAGAACCTTCCGTAAAAAAAAAACCTTAATTGTCCAACAAGTAAAAGAAAAGCTGTCTGGAGACAGTCAGGTCAGGTTCACAGCTCAGTTAGCCTACATGGAGAGGAGCTTTTTCTTTTAAAATTTTGCTAAATGTAAACACGGCAACAGAGTTTTCAAGCCGTTTCTAGACTCGCTGTTTTGTCTCCTAAAAACAAAAATGCGTTGACCTGAACCAAATTTGCTCCAGGATTGTCCGAACCCAGTAATGGCAGTGTCAGCCCCAGATTTGCAACTGGTTCTGTACAGAGAGATGCTGGGGCTTCCCCTTCTTCATCTAACTCAAACCAACTGTGAGACAACCCAGGGCTTCAAGGCTATCTCACTTTTTTTTTTTTGTAATATAATAAGCCTATTTAAACACTTTACAGGAAATGCACTAAAATAACACCCCAGATACATAACTACCTCTCACAACTGCTGTTCAGTTTTCAATATTTGCAAGTTTGCTGTTCAAACTGGCTAGCATTTCTCAAACAGTGAGTCACGGAGCTCAAAGGAGAGCAAAGTTTAAGAAGCTTAGAACTACAGAACATATAACATACGGAAATATATTCTCCTAATATTTGTGTTCTAATAGATGTCACGTTTTAAGGAAGTTTGAAAGCAAAGTGAACAGATGATGCTGGAACCAGGTCCAGCTAAGGTAATCACTGGGAAAAACACTCTCAAAGACATAACCAATGCTAAAATTAAAGGGATCATTGGCTTTAATTTAACACGACTCCAGCCCGTCACAGAAAATCGGTTTCAAGAGTACGGCATCGTGCTCCTTCGCACAACACAGCCGGAGTTCGGCCTGAAACTGGAAAGCAAGAAGCCCTCCCAGTTAAAAAGCGCGGAACGGCAACAAAACGCACACAGAAGCGCAGCGCGCGACTTTGATCGCCCGGTACGTGAGGGCTGACTCCGCATCCGACACCGCTTGTTCCACCAACTCGGCAAAGGACTGCCGTTCACAGCACCGGGAA